GCATGCCCCAAAACTCTCCCCACACTCATGTCAATCCAGCCAAGCCTAGTGTGAGCTTGGTCCCGCAAGTGACTGACACCATCGCCCAGGGCTACAGGGATCCCATATCTGAAAAGCGCCTGGGGTGGGTGGAGTGTGTTAAAAATACAAGGAGCAATGCTGCAGAAGCCGCTGTTCTAAGGGACTCACCACCCTCCTGCTGCAAGAAGGCAACTGGTGAGAATGTGAGTTGCTCACAGCCAATCCTTGCCATGCTCCTGTGGACTGACAGGCATGTGTCGGACGACGGATTGGGCACTATATTCTTTTTCCCAAAGCAGCTATATAGTCTCAAGACTGGCGCACAGGCCGACAAACAGAGAACTGTGCGTTCAAAGGTGCACTGCTGCCAGTAAGAGTAGCTGCACAATTGAAATGCTCAGATTTTCAAGCAAGGGCCATTGAAGCTGCTCTACACATGCAGAGATTCAGGACTAGCTCCTGCACTTCAGATTCACACTTGATCATAATCTGAATTAACGTTGCTTGTCTGCGCTACAAAATTAGGCCAACTTAAGGTAGGTCAACTTACAGCCACTTACAGCAATTAAACTGGCTGCTGGTATCTACACTGCCCTCCTTCTGCTGGTTCGTGTCATGACCACTCGCACTGATTGAAGTGGAACCCCCTACCACAGGACTGAGAGCCAGAGATACAATATGAAATCATAGCAGCCATGGAACTGACAAGAATGTCAATTTCACTGCTAGTAGATTCCCGGCTGTGAAACTGAACACCTGCTGGGTTCCAGTTGTCAACCCTGGCAGTAGGAGGGGGGGACTCCAGCGGTGAGCCCAGCACCCAGCTGACAGCTCAGGCTGACAGGGTGGAGGGCCAGGATGTGGGAGGCAGCTGTCAGCACTGCGCAAGGCTAACAGCCTAAAGGTGATGCAATAGCGCAGTATCGACCTGGATACTGCATTGCCCTTACTACACTAACCTAAGCAGAGGTAGCTTTATTAGGTTAGTATAGGATAGAATTACATCATCAGGAGGAATGCTGTAGTGTAGACACTAAGGCCAGGTCTAAGCTGAGGGGGGAAGGTCAGCTTAAGATACGCAACTCCAGCTCTGTAAGTAATGTAGTTGGAGTTGATGGACCTTAAACCGAGCTTGGCACCATCTCCACAGTGGAAGGTTTATGGGAGAAATGTTCCTGTCAACTACCCTTATAAGGAGTACCGGCGCACTTAGCATTTGATTTAGTGGGTCTTTACTAGACCCACTAAATCAAACCCCAGAGTATTGAGTGCCAGAGCATCAGTCCTCTGGTCAGTGGAGACGTGGCCTGACAGAGTTACCTGGTAGTATACTATTGCAACTTCAATTTCTGAGACACTATCCAGGGTTAACTGCTTGTGACATCGCTCTGTGCAGGCTAAGGTGGCAGAGGTTCTTATGCAACTGGGCAGTGGAGCCGTCTCCCAAGACGGTCGGCCAAGGCTCCTATGCTAGAGAAATTTCCGCAGCTGCTTAGTTAAGCTCTTAGTGAGAGTTACACAGGGAGTAAAATGCAAGAGAGTCACCACTCTGAGAAACCAAAGCAGCCTCTTTCAGCCAAGTTCCTTCCACCGCTGCCTAGAATTTTACCTAGCTAGGTTAAAGCACTGCCCCAAGACTTAGGGACTGGGGCTCAGTTCCTAGCCCTGCCACAGACACTCTGCATCACCCTGGGCAAGTCATTTAGTCTCTCTGTGCCTCACATCTCTATTTCTAAGATGGGGGAGAATAATCCTGCCTTTTTCCCACCCTTAGTCCACCTGTCTGTCTTTGGGGCAGGGCTTGTCTCTTGCAGAATGCATGTACAGCACCCAGCTGTGACCTCAGCTGGAACGGCTACAGGCTACTGTAATAAAAAAAAAAATCACTTTTACATGCAGCAAGTGACACTGCTGTGAAAGTCCTGTCTTGAAATTTCAGGATTTCTGTGCTTAGGCATTGTAGCTAGCCAAGGATAAATTAACCCATTCTCCATGTGATGGGATAAAACCAGAGGAGAAGAGAGTGCGGAGGGTCAGAGTTGCATTATCCCAGGTACCAAGAATCCCATCCTTCTACTCACAAAGGAAAGAAGGGGAGACACTGGAGAATTATACAAGCACGCTCCAGGTTTGTAGGCATCTCTGCTGCTTCTGAGCCTGAGCCACATCACAGCAATTAGGAGCATCTGGACACACAGATCCTCCTGTGATACAGCATCACTGCCTATTTGTTGCTCCAGCTCTGCTGTGCACGCATTTCATATTCAAGCAAAAAGTCACAGGAGATTTTTGGTCTCCAAGAACCTTTTGATAAGACTCAAAAGCGAGCAGCTTTACATGGACTCTGCCTAGCCAAGAGTTTTCTCAAGACAGAGTTTTGTAATAAAATTTGTCGCTTGACTAGTTTTATGAATCTAAGCCAAGCCACCTGAATCCCACATACAATGGCCAGAGCATAAGGAAACTCTCCATGTACACCTACCACATCAAGGTTAGAGGGACTCCGAACGGAAGCAGTGGAAAACCCAGCACAGAAGAGAATCTGGTCAAAAACTGTGAGCCCCAAACATGGCCAACTCCTCAGAGCTCCAGATCCATCATACTTGAGGCAGGATGGTCTAAGAGGCCTTCTCACATACCTGATGGTACATGCTACATTTTAGGTGCATCTAGACTGCAGGAGGTTTTTTTTTTTTTGAAAAATGGCTTTTTTTCCAAAAAAACTTCACTTACATCCACACTGCTATTGCGTTCTTTTGAAAGAAAAGGCGAAAGAATGCAGGGTTTTTTTCCGACATTGGTTAACCTCATTCTATGAGGAAGACCACCTTTTCCGAAAGAGCTCTTTCAGGAAAAGGCGTGTGTGGACTGGGAAGAGGGAGTTTTTTCAAAAGAACAGGCCTCCAGGAAAAAGCACAGGTGCCCTGGTGTCCATACCGCCCATAGTAATCGCAGCTTAAATGCAAGATTGCATCGAAAAAGTGATGCACACTGAATGGACGCTCTTTGGCAGTGTGGATCCTCTCTTTCGGAAGAGGTTTTTTCAGAAGATCTCTTCCGAAAAAGCTTATTTCGAAAGAAGCCTGCAGTCTAGACATACCCTTTCTTCCATTCTCTGACCTGGTCTAACTTAGAACTGTAAAGGGTTACTTGTTCTAACTCACACACAAAACCTAGTTTAGGCTTATACAAAAGCTACACTACAAAATTAGGCCAACTTATGTTTGGTCAACCTAGAGCCGCTGTAGTCATTATATTAGTTCTTTGTGTCCGCACCACGCGCCTTCTCTCGACAGTGAGCACTTTCACCAGAAGCACTTGCACTGAGGTAAGCAAAGCATTTTGGGGCACGACAGCCAAACCCCCCACTCCGCAGAAGGCGGACAGCCGGCCCTGTCGCAATGCAAGTTAGTGGAGTTGAAGGTAGTTTAGGTTTTAACTCGACTAACTTAGTACGTGTTAAATGCATTCGGCCTCATCCAGGACTGACAGTCAAAGGCATTCCTTAGAATATTTTATCCTACTCTAGACAAGGCCTCTGTGGTCTCATGAGCACAGAGAGAATTGAGGGCATGCACAAAAAGAGACCAACTTACACTGTCCGTGTGAGCGGCATCAGATGGGGTTAGTCTTGCGGGCGCTCACTAAGATTCCGCCTGAGGCTGGAGGGGCAGCTGTTACGCAGCACCCTTTCACTGACTCACTTCAGGAGGAGAGGGAGAGAAAGAGGAAAACAGGAAGCAGGAGAAAAGGAACGACAAAAGGCAACAAAGAAAAAGAATTAAAACAGTAAAAAAGAAAACACAAAAAGGAAATGGATCCAAGAAGACTGATACTTTTCTACAGAAGGGTTTTTAGGGACCTGTCTTCTCTAGGGTCTCACTGTAACCCATTAGGAAGACAACAGAACCAGGAAGATGGGATCTCACAGCTGGACACAGATGGCTTTAAGTCTAGCACCCATCTCTTTGTCACCAGTAGTGTTTCCCCATCAGCCCTGTGAGGAAACAGACACCTCCCTTCAGTGATCCCTGCTTGACAAGAAAACATCCTGGTGGGTTTCATGTTTTGCTGGTGGGAGTAGACCCCAAGACTAGGACTTTGAAAGAAACAATAGTGGAATAGGCCCTCCACACACATCCCTAGTTTGATGGGCATCCCAGTGCCTAGTGGGATGGACTGCCTGGAAATGATAGTTCAATGCGAGCACCTGCCCATGTATCATTCTTGTATGTGAAGTTAGAAATAGGAAGTGGAAACCTGTTTATTGACCTAGGTGTGCTAGGGAAAGCCATTAGTGGTACTTATGGGACTTAATGGCCTGGTAATCAAGACAATGATCTGTGAGTAGTCTGGTTTTTCCTGTAAGCTTGGACTATGGTTGATCCTGTCAGGACATGTGGCCAGATCACCTGACACTAGAACCCATTTTGCATGTGAGTACTTTTCAATGGAGGTGTGAAAGGATTGAAGCTGAACACAAAGAATTCCCATCTTGGGTGATATCTATTTATCCTGCTTGCCACCAAGATACCTGAACAGAGAGAAGTATCGAACCCAAGTTAGGAGGCTGCCTAGCTTGTGAGAAAAGATCATTAAAATTACTGTTGGGGTAAGAAATTGCATGTAACAAGTTTCACAGAGTAATCAGCTTAGCTGACATGTTTTGCTTTATTTTAGCTTAGTAACTAATATGTCTGTCATCACTTGCAACCAACTAAGTCCTACTTTTTTATACTTAATAAAATCACTTGTGTTTATTATTAAACCTAGTGTAAATTGTTACAGGGAGTGGAGCAGACAACAGCTGTGCCCCTCTCTCTTTTATTGATAAAGGGGAGAACCTATGAGCTTTCTCTGTGTACAATTCTTAGACAGGGTCAGACGGATTTATTTGGAGTTTTGATCACATTGGAGCTGTGCTTCTGGGTGTTGTCAAGTGCCTGTAACCAAACACTCCCAGAGCTGAGCTGTTCTTAGTGTCTGTGTTGCTCTGCTGGAGGCTGTTACCCAAACTCTGAGCCTTTCATGGGGCAGATCAGAACTTCTGGCCCAGCAGGGCAGGGTGGAGTGACAGCTGAAAAGACAGGTTCAATGGTATGATCCAACCATCAGGTGACAGTCTCAATGGGATCTCTGTGACCTAACCTGTCTCTTCAAGCCATGCTCTGTTTTCGTTTCAGACCCCCTTGTGGTTGTGGACCAACGCTTGAAAGTGTGACTCCTAAACACTCAACAACCAGAAGGCAAACAGAGAACTCAACATCTGTAATGTATTACTCGCTATCTCATGGCTTTTGCTGGGACCTGACTCATGATTTTTGGTGCTGCAAAGGAAATTGGGGGCAAGAAGCCCAGGGACCTCTTGGGAACCTGGAATGATTTCCACTCCAGCATTCAGAACGTGGAGAATATGGAGTGCTGCCTGGCTCCCCCTTTCGTTCAAAACATGTTGGATAGCCAGGGGCTGGCTGTGGCAAGCAGGGAGGGACGAGGGAATTGGATTTTTGGTTTTTCAAAACCAGTACTGGCTCAGATCCAGATCCTGGTTTCATTCAAGTCCTCCAAAATCAAGGGGGTTTGGATGAGAGGCCCCATTTGTGCTGTGAGGCTCATGTACTTGCATGTGTGTGTTTCTTTCCAGCCACTGGCCAAGCTGTGCTACGACCCCATGGCATTATCTCAATCATATTGTGCATCATTCTCCCTGTTTTCCTCCCTTTCCCTTCCCCGGAAGCAGCCCCCACCTGCTTGTCATGGTGGTACAGCGACGCCAGCGTGTACGGCAGGATCTGGAGCGCAGAGAAAGTGAAGCCCGTCAGGGCGGCCGAGATGGTGACAATGAGGACACTCTGGGAGAAGCACATGACAAAGGCAGCCAGGGGGAAGAAGGCCACGCTGGCCAGGTAGACTGCCCGGGTCCCAAACTGCTTCACCAGCCGGTCCATGACTGTCGAGAAGAAGATGGAGATGACGCATTGTAGGAATAGGCCCAGGCTGCCCATGCGAACACCTGGGGAAAAAAGAAAACAAACAAAAAAAACACACACTGGTGGTGCGCAGAATACTCTCTGCTTTCCAAAAGGCAAGCAACTCTGGGGACTTGGTAGGGTCATTCTGCATTACTCCACAGATATCAGCACAGCTCGACACAAGCCTTGCTCGGAGAAAAGGTACAGGATGTGCACCCCCCACCCTGTCCATCTCCAAAACCTATTAATTCCTGGGATCCTCTGCTGAGCCCCCAGACCGTGCTGGTGAGGCCACCACCCACACGTAGGGGAAGAACCAAAGAGACCATTTTCCAGGGCACAAAGGATTGTTGGGCATCTGTACAGCCCCACCCCGACGCCCTCCGCAGAGCCCATCTCTTCTCTGCCCACCAGTCAGGGTGCGCGATCAGATGCCAAAGCACCAACATGACAAAACGGTACAAAGCAGCTTTTAGCTGTTCTGGGGTTTGGCTTAGAGTGAAAGATCCATGGCAGGACCATCTAGACCATCCCTGACAGGTGTTTGTCTAACCTGCTCTTAAATATTTCTAGTGATGCAAATTCCACAACCTCCTGAGGCAATTTATTGCAGGGTTTAACCACCCTGACAGTGAGGAAGTTTTTTCTAATGTCCAACCTAAACCTCCCTTGCTGCAATTTAAGCCCATTGCTTCCTGTCCTATCCTCAGAGGTCTAGGAGAACAATTCCCCTCCCCCCCTTCCTTGTAACACCCTTTTAGGTACTTGAAAACTGCTCTCATGTCTCCTCTCAGTCTTCTCTTTATCACTTACCCATGCCTCGGTTTTCCCATCTGTAAAATGGAGCAAGTTCCATTTACCCAGCTTTCAGATTTGGGGGTGGAATATGATCAATAGTCATTGAGAATAGGAAGGGTCAGGCAAGTGGATCTGGTGCTGGCAGATTCTCACCCCAGCCTATGAGCAAAGCCACACAGAACCCAGGTAGAACCCCGCATGCTGCCAGACAAGTGTACCTGCCAGCTAGAGAGGTTACCCAGCACAGATACATTTACACTTCCCAGCTATGCTGGAGGGCCTCACACGGACGTGTGGACATTGTGCGCCCACTGAGACCCAATCTACGCACCTGAGCTCAGACCCTGGGGGGAGAGCTGACCCCTGGAGGGACAGCCCATCTCTCATCCCATCTCAGCCTTTCTAACCCCCTGCAACCGGAGGCACATTCTGCTCATTTGTTACCTTCATCGTAGTGACGTCGGGCTTCTGTGCCCGGCTCGGCCCTGGGAACCCCCTGGTACAGCCCCTCGCCCACAAAGTCCGTGTAGAACAGCATGAAAGTCATGAGGGCCATCCAACTGCACAACTCGGCCACGAAGAGCCGCCGGATCACCTTGGGGATGCGGCAGCAGAGGCCGTGGAGCCGCGGGAGCAAGGCGCAGAGGTTCCTCAAGGCCTGGATCATGTGCCTGGCTCGCCAGAGGCTCCTGGAGATGGGGCACAGGCAGCAGGTGGGGGGCGAGGGCTTGGGGGAAGAGTCCTTCAGCGCAGGGCCCGCCAGCGCATCCGCCTGCGCCACGGCTTCCTCCGTCACAAAGAGGGTGGCCAGGACGCAGCCCAGGAAGATGACGGCGAGGAGGCTGAAAAGGCACTTCTCCTGCCCGCCCAGGTAAGGGGCCAGGAAGCTGCTGGCCCAGTCGATGGCGGGGAGCAGGTAGCCGATGCAGCCGCCCAGGCTGATCATGAAGGCGTACATGGAGAAAGCCTGCCGGCAGCTGTCGGGCTCCTGGAAGAGGTCCGAGAGCAAGGCCTCCAGGGGCGTGAAGCAGACCTGGCCGCAGAAGTCCAGCAAGCCGATGCCCAGGATGAGGAAGGCGATCTCCAGGGGGTGGGTGCTGAGGGCGAAGAGGCCGGCCAGCCGGCCGGCATGGGGGATGATGAAAAGGCTCAGCAGGACGCCCAGGCACAAAAGCCAGATGAAGGGCCGCCGGCGGCCATAGCTGCTGTGCCAGTGGTCGCTGGCGGAGCCGATCAGCGGTACAAAGACCAGGCCCAGGACGGGCCCGATCCCTGGAATGGAGACAGAGATGCAGCGTTAGGGGCGGCATCCTAGCACGGCAGGTGATCTCTGTGCCCAGCAATAAGGGTTAGGGCCACGGCTTTCACAAGTGACTAGTGGGTGCCCATCTGAGCCTCAGGGCTGAGCACCCCCGCGCCCCGACAATTGGACCCCTTTAAGCATCGCAGGTTGGACACCATTATCCTTGTGAACACCTCGGCTTTGCTCATCCCAGAAAAAGACAGTCCCCCCCCCCCCCCCCATCACCTGCCCCCTTGCCACTTGGAGCTTTGAGGCTTCTGGGCAACTTGGTAAGAGCACCCTGAAGCAGCCCTCCACCCTGCAGGTCAGAGTCCTGGATTGGCATTAAACCCTCACTGAAGTAGCCCTATCTTAGAGAAGGGGAAACTGAGGCAGGGACCGGCCAGAGCCACACAGGCAATTCAGTGGCAGAAACAGAACCCAGGAGCCCCTGCTCTAAGCCAATTGGCTGCACATTCTCTCTGGAATAGAGTCGTCACAGCTGATCAGGTGCTGGAACTTCGGGTGCTGCAGCATCCCCTGGCTGAAAGTGATTTCCATTCTATCCAGTTGGGTCCAGTGCCCCCACTCTAAAAACTCTTCCCAGCCCCCTGCTCAGATGCCGGGGATACAAATCTGCCTGCCCCAATTCCCCGCTGCTCTCTAAGCCCCCAGAGGGGGTAAGCCTCTCAATCCGAGAAAGAAAGAAGCCACCTACCCAAAACCATGGTCATGAACTTCTCTTCCACCCCCACTTCCAGCAGGAGCGGTGGCACGTACGTGATCCCCGCAGCCAAGCAGACTTCCAGGCCAAACGTCAGGGAGTTGACCAGCAGGAGCTGGGCGCGGCGATTGTGGAAGAGCATGCTGACCCACACTTTCGGAGCCATGCTGCCCGCGCGCCGCTTTCACATTAGATGGTTGCGCCCCCCAGACAGCCGAAGTCCAGGGCGCCCACGAGCCAGACGCTCTGAAGTCTCCTCTCACGGTCCAACGGAGAAGTGCTGGCTGCCATTTTTAATCGGCGGCGCACGCCTTGTCCCCACGTGGCGAGGCGAAGTCACTGAGATGCAGAATCCATGCACAGGGCAACCGGCTCCATGCTCCAGGGCTCTCCCCCCGCTTCACGTGCCCTACTATGGAGGAGGGAGCTCATTAGAAAGGAGACATCCACACACCAGGGGAAGTCCTTCTTAAAAGGACTCCTCTGTTACATCAAAGCCAACGGCATCTGGAGTGGGAGGCAAAGTTACGGCCACGAGGTTCCCCAACATAAACCGTGGGTCAGAGAGGCTTGGCTCTCGCGCTGTCCATCACCCCAGACCCTCGTCCCTTTCTTATTGGCATCACAGTCGTGCTAGGCCGTCGATGTGATCAGGGCCCTGCTGTGCTAGATCAGGGAGTGGGGACAATACAGTCGTTTGATCCGGCCCACAACCCGCCCTGCCACTCCTCTGCCCCCAGGCCAATCGAGATGTGGGAGTGGGAGAATGCGCAAAGTCATTCGCTGTTCAAAGCGGCTCGTGGCTCTCCCCTCCCCAGTCAGGAGCACATGGTGCCTAGAGGGAACCGCCCCTTTTTATCTCAGGCCATGCCCCTTCCTCCTGAGGCCCCGCCCTTTCCAGGCAGAGCTGGCCTGGGACCACGAACCAAAATTCGTAAAGTTGCCCCCTGCAAAAATTATTGCCCACCCCATGCTAGATGCCATGCAAACACAATGCAAGAAAAGGACCCTTGTCCAGAACTTACAAGCTAACCAGACCAAACAGGAAAAAGGAAGGATGATCTTCGTTTTACGGATGGGCAACGGAGACAGAGGGAGATTAAATGACTTGTCCAAGTCACTTATGTAATTTGGGGCAGGACCAGGAGTCAAGGCCTCGGCTCACAAGGCCAGCTGTCACACACTGTTCCTCTCCACCGCCTGGATGCGTAAAGCTTTCAGGTCAGTATTTTTTACCTGGACTCTGTACCCATCAGCTTGGCGGGAACGTGAAATTCAGCTGCACAGATGGTGCCTTGCAAATAAACCTGACCTAGTTCAGTCTCCTCTGCCAGTGAATGGCAATCATTGGAAGCATTCGTCTGTCATCAGAGCTAGCTGTGCCAGCGGAGTCATCTGTTCTCCTTGCAACGTCTGCCATCTCCCGCCTCGCTCATGCGGCTCCTCACAGGCACCGCATGAGGCTGGGCCCAGAGCAAGGGGGAGGGAGTTTACCAGGAGTCCTCTTCCATGAGTCTGTAGAGCAGTGAGGGGCAACCTAGGCGTGTGAGGGGGTCACAGGAGTGCTCTCTCATCTCAGTGGGCTGCAAGATTGTCGTCACCAAACTGCTCTCCCGGTACAGGGTAGTTTCGCTCATTTCGCTTGTGTACCTAGAATTTGTGGGCTGTGCCGATTGCACCGTAGCAGTGCCGGGATTGGCTGCAGAGGGAGCGCACGGCTCTCTCAGTCAGTGTTGTGTGCAATCAGCACGCACCTCCCTTCCCATGCCCTGGCTTTACGTGCGGGTCAGTAGGAAAAATACTCTGCAGAGGGAAACCAGTGGAATCTGGCAACCCGGCACGTGGGCAACAGGAAATAAAAATGTCTCGTGGGCCACACATAGAACCCCGACGGGCCACATGTGGCCCTCAGGCTGCAGATTGCCCACCACTGCTGTGGAAATACCAATTCCATTGCGGACTCTGTATGCAAGCAGCAGGAGTGAGCTTGGCCGGTCATAGGATGGGAGAGTGAACGGCAGGTCCAGGCAGTTGCACTTCAGTAGATGAGAATCGTAGGCCAGGGCCATACTGAACCAGTGCCTTTTGAGGGGGATGGGAGAGGGAGAAATCAGATCACTTTTGCTCCTTGACGACCTTGGGGCAGGTTTTCCATCTAGGTTGCTTATTGCGACCCACATTTCACATCAGGGGAGCATCTGCCCACGTACTGATGGGGTCATCACAACACCCTGGGGAAGTCAGCCTCATTGCTCCCCACATCATAGATGGAGCTCTGAGGGCAACTGGGAAATAGATTGGGATTAAGATAGGGTGTGGGAAAGTGGATATCCTGAATCATTCCATATGTGGCTGTTTCTTTTCCAGAATAAGAGTGCCTTACTCTGAATTTGCTTTAATCCAGATTGGAAGTGGATGACGGTAATTCAGAATAAAGACAGCCAATGCATGGAGTTATTCAGAGATAAGTAATCAGGACTAGTTGTGCTGGAAAAACTCCCCATGTCCACAACAAACCCTGAAGCCTAGAGAGATTAAGGGTTTGCCCCATAGACTACAGAGGGGTGAAGTACAGTAACTAAGTGTATGCTGTGAGGATGAACTATAGGACACCTTAGGTGAGATCTACGCTAGACCCAGCAGCTCGGCTTAAGGTATGCAACTCCAGTGACATGTAATATGTCACTGGAGTCAGTATACTGTAAACCAAACTTGGCAGCGTCCCCCACAGTGGAAGGGCAATGGGAACAAACCCTCCCCTCAGCTTCCCTTACTCTGCATGAGCAGGAGTACCAGATGCCAATGGGGGCGCCCACTGAGTTCAATTTAGCGAGTCTTAACTAGACTCTCTAAATCAAACTCTGGAAGATCAATCTCCCCCGCAGAACGAAGACAAGGCCTTAATTTGAATTAACACTGCTATCTTTAGAGGATTCATTTAACACCACTGAGGTACCTTTTAGTTTGTGCCTGTAGCATCCACATGGGGCAGTTAAAGTACAGCACACTGGCTGCAGATCACACCCCCATCCTCTGAACTGGGGAAGGCCATGTAGACGTAGCCTAAAGCATGGTCTGCACTTCTAAATGTAAAGCACAGTGCTTCAAAGCAGCAGTGTGGTCACAGCACTAGCACTGGGAGATCTCCCTGCACTGTGGGCAAACCACCCTGCTGGGAGCTTGCTTACACTGGCGCTTTACAGCACTAGAACTTGCTGAGCTTGGGGTGTGTTTTTTTCACACCCCTGAGGGAGAAAGTTACAGTGTAGACAGGCCCTAAGTGACCTGTCCCGGGTCACACCTGCCCTGTGTTTGGCTTGGTTTGGCTGCATACTGACACTCAAGCAAGTTAGGATAAACGTATTTAAAGAGGGAAGTTAAAGCACATTAACCCCCCCACACACACCCACCCACGGACAGTCTCATTCAGAAGTGAAGTAGCCTAAAGGCTTGTCTACATGAACAATTAGTTTGCAGCAAGGTGAAGCGAGAATCTAGCCTACCAGGGACTGTTACGTGTCCCCTGCTGACATGCACATCAACAGTTTGTTACAGTGCTTTGAGTCAGTCCATGTGAGGACTAGATCAAAGTGCTCTAACAAACCAATAGGAGAAGCAAAATGCAGGACAATGTAGCACTTTAAAGACTAACAAGATGGTTTATTAGATGATGAGCTTTCGTGGGCCAGACCCACTTCTCTGGCCCACGAAAGCTCATCATCTAATAAACCATCTTGTTAGTCTTTAAAGTGCTACATTGTCCTGCATTTTGCTTCTCCTATCTCAAGTTCATGGCAATAGGAGAAATTTTTGCAGGAACAATTAATCCGTGGCAGGCTTCACTATGGGGTAGATTCACACCCAAGCTTGTCACCAAGTAGATTAATCCTCACTAAAGCAAACTAAGGCCCCTTTACTTCTGAATACACTTTACTTCTGAGGCCTGGGAAGATCTGCTAAGCCCCCAGAGCGAGGCCCGGGATTACATTTAGCCAACTTGCGATTCCTGCTTTTACCTCTGGGACAGAACTGCCATGAGATTGCGAGTTTGCTAACTCAACAGGGCAAACATGATCTATCTAGGGCAGGGATGGGCAATAATTTTCACAGGGGAGCCACTTAATGAATTTTGGTATGTGGGCAGAAGGGGCAGGGCTGGAGCACTAATATCCTCCCAGAGTTATATGGGGCCAGAAGCTTTGAAGTAAAATTTTACCTCTGGGACAGAACTGCCATGAGATTGCGAGTTTGCTAACTCAACAGGGCAAACATGATCTATCTAGGGCAGGGATGGGCAATAATTTTCACAGGGGAGCCACTTAATGAATTTTGGTATGTGGGCAGAAGGGGCAGGGCTGGAGCACTAATATCCTCCCAGAGTTATATGGGGCCAGAAGCTTTGAAGTAAAAAACACAGCAAAGGGCTCGCGGATCCCAGCCCTGCCATTACCGCGTTGCCTGGCAGCTGTCCAGGATTGCTGCGGCTATTTATAAAGGCTTGTGGTTCCAGCCCCTGCCAGGGTAGAGACACGATCATGAGCCATCTAAATAGGATCCTACTGCCTGAGCCACCGCCTGGAAATCTGGTGGCACAGCAGCAGGATATAAATAGAAAGCGGCCAGATGCAGCCTTGCGGGCCAGATGAAAACATTAGGCAGGCTGGATCCGGCCCCCGGGCCACATCTTGTCCAGCCCTGAGCACATAGGGAAGAGTTGGGGATTTTTCCACCAGCCAACCAGCCCAGCCCGGACTTGGAGCAATCCGTCTTTGGCTTCCCACAGCCTCATTCTCAACCTTTCCCTCCAGTTGCAATCTTGATCATTGAAAGAGGAGCCTCTCCGCAGAGTTGAGGAGTTTACAGGCAGTCATTAACTTATTACATATAATTACTGCCCATGGATTCACGCCTAATGTTTCTCCCCCTCCCACTCAATTCTTCGTGAGTCATTCTCTTGCCCGCAACTTCCCAAGGGTTAAGGATTTCATGGTGCGTCATTTTTGGCTTCATCTTCTTTGGAAGATTAAGTGAGAGAGAGAGAGAGAGACGCGCGAGCGCTGCAGGGTAGCATGGGGAAAAGGATAGAAAGATCCATCTCAGGAGATGTAAGCAGATCAATTGTGGATGCATGCAGCCGCTTCTGGGATGGAGTGGAAAGCATCGATTTTGCAAGCTGAGCCCCATGGGTGGACCCCGGTGTCCAAGTGACTAAATGGGACTCCCAAATATTTGCAACCATGTAGGGCCAACTGCAGTAACTGAGAATTGCTCTGGGAGTTTTCAGACAGCAAGCTGCTCGAAAAACAAGATGAAACCTCATCCAGATCCACAGGCCCTCTCACGGAGCAGAAACACCACAGGTATTTTGCACCCCCAAACCAGCCAGGCTGTACTAGCCAGGAAGACTCCCCG